GTGGACATACACTAAACTGCATGCTACACTGACACATGTTTATGTACAAATTGTGTAGATTTCTCTGAGTTTTCCCCACTTTCAATAATTGCAGATCATGAGTCATCAGAAGAAAGACTGGTGCTAGAAGTACTTTCTCTAAAACAACACAAATATTTTGCCTTGAAACCAAAGAAAAGACTCTGTCTGAACTACTCAAATCTACCTTCAGATGGATCTCAGATCACTCCCCAGTTAAGGAACATTAATTAATGGGGAAAAAGCAAACTATTAGTACAACCACTTCTTAAAAGACTATTTACATTTTTTAGACATAAAAATTAAATATTACAACCCTGCTTTACAAAAGTACTTACAATTTTAGAGGTCCTTGTCACTAAGAATAGCAAAGTCTTGATTGTTCAACTGAAACGCAGTAAAAATCACAAATCCCAGAACTTTGGGCTGGAGCAAAAGCTCCGTGCTGCCTGCCTGGATTGTCAGCCTATGGGTGTCAGCTCTCAGACCACCAGCTGCATCAGACGCTTCCCAAAGCAGGATCTGAATTCCTGTTATTAATTAACCCTGCAGGACAATGCCTGCCCTTGAACAGACAGTCCTCAGGCTGCAGGTGAAAGATGGCAGGTACCCTGGATAGCTATAACAATTAAACACCAACTTCAGGACTGTTTTGTGGAAGGTTTAAAAATAATGTGTCCACGCCAAAGCTTTTACCTGCCTCCAGATTACAAACAAAACTTCATAACATGAGACTTTTTGCTTCCTAATTTCAGTTTGGTCCTCACTTTATATTCCCCTTCACCAATTTTGCTTTTCACTTATTTTCAGTTGTTTTTTTTTTTCACATTGTTAGACATATGTTTGCTTACTTATTTTTCATATGTATTTAAACTCTTGGAGCAAAGCACAGTAAAAACTAAAAATTGTATAAAACAGCTGACTATTAGAAAAAAGAGGTTGAGAAAGTGAATCATGCTTATGGCAATAAGGCAGGGTTGTTGTTGTTGTTGTTTTTCCTAAAAAGAGTCACTCCAAGAAATAAACATCTAACCTTTGGATGTCTCACAAAGTGTTGCTCACTGCTTTCCGGTAGCCACCAACCGTGCTGGCTTAGATGATGCATTGGAATCTAAGAGAATAAGTCTCTTCAGCCAGTTCTTTTTATACCCTTTTTATCTCTGTTCAATCCCAGTTACTTCTATCTGAGCAATTTGCTCAAACACTCTTCCTCTCATTATCATTATTACTATTGTATTATTTGCTATTTGTGAAACTCTTGTCACCATATACTCTTTCCAAAAAAAATGAAAGTAATGAGACTTGATATGCTTGGATGTACATCCCATAACATACCCACAAAGAAATAGAAAATCCTACATTTATTAAAATTATAACTAAGAACTAGACTTACACATCTCTAAGATATTTGGTAATTATTATTCATTTAATATTATTTAATATTATTATTATAACAATAAGGTAGACTACTATTCTCTCAAGTAACTTCTATTTGCTTTATTATGAGTTTTCATCTGGCTTTTGTGGGCTTAATTTATGATCTAGGACTATTTATAATATTTTGAAGGAAAACTGTAAAACAGCAAATAAATAAATAAATAAATAAATAAATAAATAAATAAATAAATAAATATAAACAAATAAGCAAAACCAAACAGTCTAATTAGAAAATTGGTAAAAAGCATGAAGAAACATTTCAACAAAGAAGATATGCAGAGGCCAAATAAGCACACAGGAAGACATTCAACATCACTAGTCAATTGTGAAATGCAAATTAAAACAGTAAGATACCACTAACACCTGCCATAAATCACACACACACACACACACACACACACACACACACAACAGTAACATCACCAAGTACTGGCAAGTAGAAAATGAATATCACATAGTCATTGGTGAGAATATAAATGGTATAGCCACTCTGGAAGTGTTCCACAGTTCCTTCAGAACTACCAAGCCAAATTACCAAGGGTTCCCAGCAACTGTACTCTTGGACATTTATTCCAAAAAAATGAAAACTTATTTTCACATGAAAATATGACTACCAATGTTTATAGTAGCAATGTCTTTTGAGTGGATGGGAAGTCAAATAAACTGTACTAAATAAACTACGATTCAGGAGCCTCCCTGGTGGCGCAAGGGATTAAGACACAACCTTGAAGCTATCTGCAGCCACTGCAGCATGAGATGGATCCCCTGCCTGGGAGCTATCCACATGGTGCAGCAGACCTCTCCTGACTTACCTGCTACTCCCCTCAGCAGTGTATTTCAGTCATTCTACCTGTTCTGCTCCCTACTCTGTCTCTGGTGAATCCTCTCACTCCCACACCTCTGGCCTGTACCCCAGTTCTTATATGCATAATAAATAAGTCTTTAAAAAAAACAAAACACTATGATTCATCCTACTGGGGAATGCTACTCAGCAATAAGATGGAACAGACTATTCATACATACAACCACCTAGATGAATATCCAGGGAATGGTGCTGAAAGTCAATCCCAAAAGATTAGATGCTGTATGACTCCATTCATATAACAGTCCCTGACTGATAACATTATAGAAATGGAAAACGGACTGTCAGTTACCAGAGTTTAGGGATGGGGGTGAAGAGGCTGTAAAAGGGGGGCCCAAGTTCAGAACTCCTACTGTCCTGTAGACTATCACTGCCAATATGCTGATTGTGATCATGCTTTATAGTTTTATAATATGTTACTACTGGTGGAAAAATGGATAAAAGATATACAAACTCTCTGCATTATTTGTTTCAATTGCATTTGAACCTATAAGTATCTTCAAAATTGGCAGCTGAATTAAATAATTTTTTAAAAACCTACTTCAAATGCAACTTCTAAATGCAATTTATTTGCAAATGGTTTTAAATAAATCTATGGAATTGTTCTTTAAATAAATCTATATAGATGTGCCTATCATCAATGCCATGTTAAGAAATTCAAATTGGAAATGTTTCTTTTCCCTATAGAATGGAAGTCATTGACCCAAAGTAAAATATAAAAATAAGAGGACAAGTGTTGTTTTCCAGTTAAATATGTTCATCTGGTAGGCTGTATGAATACATAAAAGAGCCCCTCTATTCCTAGGACTGATACAATTCGACAAACAGGATGCTTCCACATAATTTTCAGGAGTTCAATCCACTGCCCAGCATTATTTTCAACTATACGGGAAAACAAAGGGAAAGCCAGGTAACAGCTTTTCAGAAGGGAGGAGGCTGGGTCATCTCAAATTTTAAGACTACATATAAAAACCAGAGAAAACAAGCGTTGGTTACTCTAGACCTCTACAGTCTTGGCTTGAAAATAAAAAGATAAAAGTTGAGCCTTCCAAGTGGAACAACAGGCTGATTGAGAACACCTCAGGGCTTCTGATCTGCTCAAGTCCACAATGTAAAACCCAGATCAAACATCCTGACCTGCTCCTCCTGAGGCCAACCTAACTTACCCTGGGCTCTGAGGAATGAGAATGCACAGAAGAGGGATAAGCTCTTTTCAGTTCACTGAAGGAAAGCAGCACAAGTCAAAGAGTGTTCCCCAGTTCTCTCATCTCCCGCCCTCCACAGTTGCTCCAACTCACCTCCCCCTGAAGCGCTTGCCCACCATATTTCTTTTCTTCCCTACTATCTGCCACACCCACTGGTCTCCTCTCCCCAGTCCATCTGCACTTTGATTCTAGCTCCCTCCATTCCAGGAGATGCCCCCCAACTACAACTTTGAGTAATTCCTCTGGACGTGGTCTCTCAAAGGCATCTGATACTTTCTGACCAACTTCACCTTCCTGGAACATGCTCTTCTTAAGCATTTCTTGAACATTATTCTCTGGCTCTCTCTGTGCCTTGCTTCCCACTCCCTCCTCATTTGCCTCACTGTCCTTCTCCCTTCCCTACCTTTCAAATATCTGCATATTTTCCAGAGTAATAACCTTGACAGTCTTCTTACTATGTCTCTCTTGAAAGAGAGTTCCACTAAACCTGAAGCAGAATTCTGGGTGGGGATGGTTCCCTGGCAATGGGAATACCAGGACAACTCAGAG